ACGCATAGTCCTGATAGCGTAAACAACTATCGTGCAACTTCAACAAAGGTATTAGTTATCTGAGCTTATTCGGCCGCTAGACCATGTTAGTTTCCGAAAAATGATGGATGTTTGTGGGGTTGACGAGCTCCCGTAAATAATTGCTTTATCACCAGCAGTATAGTCACCTTCGTTGATAACATCTCTCAGATTCATCAAAAGCATGAGTGCTGTTCAACACAAGGGCCCGGCTGTGCTCATTTTTGTTACCGCCTATGTACTTTGACGCGCGGTAGCGAGCGAAGCCAAACTCATTAAACCGCTCAACTTTAGGATTTGCGAAAGTGTGAATGTAAAGCAAAGATAAGCATCAGATCTCACTTTTATAAGGAGCATATTTCATTTTCATTCTAAGGCTAACAGCAAAACCTAATCACCGCTAAATTGTCAGGATTCAAGAAAAATGCTAGGTGTTTACGAGTTGTGATAAATATACCGACTCAGCTTCGCATTCACGCGCATGTATGATGGACTTCAATGAAAGTGGAGATCCTCCAACCTCAGGTCACTCCACTGACATATCCAATAGTGAGCTGCTTTGTGGAGTAGATCACCAGATGTTCCTTAAGTCCTCCAGTTTCGCTGAAGCCTACCGTGTTATGCGCGCGATAGCGAGCGGAGCAAAACTGGTTATACATAACTACTATACTTGCGCCGTTAATGTAGGAGGTGACCCTGTTCCTTGCGAAGTGCACTTTCATTCTTTGTAGTACTTTCAAATACTTCCTTCTCGAAGGTAGAGGGACGGAGCGACTGAACCTGCAAAGAATATTTATATCATGTTTTCTCACATATCCTTGTTTTCTGCTGCGCTACACCCTCTCCCTCCTATCTGCACCACGATGCCACTGACGTTACTGACCCCCATGAGTACGACCCCCCATGACCCTGACAAATACGACCCCCCCCCCCAAGCGTCAGATCTCACTTTTATAAGGAGCATATTTCATTTTCATTCTGAGGCTAACAGCAAAACCTAATCACCGCTAAATTGTCAGGATTCAAGAAAAATGCTAGGTGTTTACGAGTTGTGATAAATATACCGACTCAGCTTCGCATTCACGCGCATGTATGATGGACTTCAATGAAAGTGGAGATCCTCCAACCTCAGGTCACTCCACTGACATATCCAATAGTGAGCTGCTTTGTGGAGTAGATCACCAGATGTTCCTTAAGTCCTCCAGTTTCGCTGAAGCCTACCGTGTTATGCGCGCGATAGCGAGCGGAGCAAAACTGGTTATACATAACTATACTTGCGCCGTTAATGTAGGAGGTGACCCTGTTCCTTGCGAAGTGCACTTTCATCCTTTGTTCATTATTTGATATAATGTCTTCCCTCTTCTCTGTCTTGTGTGTCTTGATATATATAATGTCTCTTCCTGTCTTGATATAATGTCACCAGGGCGAATATCGGTCGAGGATTTCCTCGACCGATATTCGCCCTGGTGCTCACTGTGTCCAAACGGCTTAAGCCGTGTGAATCAGTGCACCTTCCTGCCCCAAATAGAGATGAGACAAAGTGGGGGTACGTTGTCCGGAGTGAAGTATGCTACTATTGTGATTAATCTCGACGCCGTGAACAAACGAAAGCATGCCTGAAATTGTTGCATATGCAGAAACATTCAGTAGGCAGTTGATAAAACATTCATTAATCAGGAGGGATTGTTGAAATAAGGGGGAGCATGCTGCTTTAGCTGTTCAGTGCTGCAACGAAGGATAACACTAGAGAAGCTACTAAGATTTCTCTGAGCTTTTATGCAGTAAGCAGAATTCCAAACAAAGTAATAATATTATAAAACGAAAAAAGTAGGAAAACAGATTATTCTAATAGGTAGCGCACGAATGAAGCTCTCGCTACAAGAGATAGCTGAGGTGTGGTATCTGATATGTTTTATCTTTAAGCGCTGTTTTTGTAGAAGGCTCAGAATTTGCAGGCGTTGATATGTGTTGTTTTGTTAGCTATGAAGCCTTTCCACAGACACTTTCTTTTTTGACCCATTTTCGGGCAATGATTTCAGAATCAGCAACGACAACAGCAGTGCCTTCAATCACCAGCACCCAGCCCATAACGATTAAAACAGCATACCCGACTACCACTTCAGAGCCGAACACGACTACGACGGCCTCTACCGACCACTACAGAACCGAGCACGACTACAGCGGCACCTTCGACCACTACGGAACCGAGCACGACTACAGCGGTACCCTCGACCACAGCGGAGCCGAGCACGACTACAGCGGTACCCTCGACCACAGCGGAGCCGAGCACGACTACAGCGGCACCTCGACCACTGCGGAGCCGAGCACGACTACAGCGGCACACTCGACCACTGCGGAGCCGA